TGATAGATACAAGTATTTTTTTTTTTAAATATTATTTTTATGTTTAGATTTGAAATTAGGAACATATTTGTTAAAGTGGAAGACCATCTTCAAGAGTAATTTATAGATTCAAACATACACACACGCACACTATTAATTTTAGCCATATTTTTTAGAATGGACTCGAACATTGATCCAATCGATCTATCGAGTCAGAGAATCACTGATCCAACTGGTAGATCACATTGATTGAAAGTCATTATAAAAGTATTTTTTAAAATAATATTATTTTTGTTGGAAAGTTTTTTTTGAATTGCAATTCATTCAACAACAAAGTCGCAAGAAGCGGATACAAAGAGGAAAAAATCCTCCAACACAAAGCCCTCCAAAGAGAGATAAACGGGCATCCAATGCGAAGACAGTTTACAACAAAGTTACAATTGTGACTAATAAACAGGCGAACCCGACTAGCCAACTCATTCAGCAGTATGGCACCCCCGCACACACAATGACGGGCATTGTCTAAACTTAAATCTCTCAAAAAAGAGAGAGGCAAAACTGTAGACTGAAACAACCCAAAAAAACTCAAAACAAGAAAACTACACAACAAACCAACCAAAAACACAACACACCACCCCCTGCAACACCCAAAAACGGGCAGGAAGAAACAGCTCCAGGCAGAGGCAGAAAGTCCCCTCCGGCAAAGGCCCCCCGACGGCGCCCCCCGCAGCCCCGGCATCGCGAAAATCCACCAGGAACAAGGACCCAGGTCTCGTACGGCGCACCACAGCCTCCACAACAGAGGCTGGCCCATACTACCCCCAGCCGTACCATTGTCCGCCGGTCGCCCCTACCGTCACCGCGGCGAACACCCGAACAAATCCACAGCACCACAACGGAATCCGACCCTAACACCCTCACTGTCCCTGTTGCTGCCCGAAACACCGCCGCCCCATCACAAATCAAACACCACCGCCCGACCAACACCAACCCAAACTCACCACCCAAGCTGCGCCACCAACCCAAATACAACACACACAGAGACAAAACAACAAAAAGGAAAGGAAAAGAAAGAATAAACAACCAAGAAGGAGGAGGGAGGAAGGAACGGAGGGGGGAGCCGAAGCTCCCACCCCCGACGAAACGCTTGGTTCAAGAAATTAAGATCTTCATTAGACATTCACGTGTATGTTTTAATTAAGAAATTTAGATTTAGAATTTACGTAAATTTGATATTCAAATTCTTAATTGAAATCTAGATTTTAATAAATGAACCTTCAGGTTTTGACTTCAAGAATCTGACGCTTTCAATTAGGGGTGTAACCGATTCGATTTTATCGGGTTTTAACAAATTTTTAAATCAAACCGTTTAAACCGATTTGAAAAAAAACTCAAACCTAGAACAAATCGTTTTGAATGGTTTGAAAAAAACTCAAATTTAAACCTAACGGTTTGGTTCGGTTTTAAGCTTTCGGTTTAGTCGTATATTTTTGTCTGTTTACTTTTATGACATTAATTCATTGAGTTCAATATATATTTATATTTTACTATTAATAAATCTAAAACAAACTAAATATATCTACT